TCCACAGCAAATCATAGCTGTGGAGCAGCCCACAGCCAGCCATTTAAGCCTATCAACAGAATATCTTGCATCAGAGAGAAGCTGCCAGCAATGAGCTGTTGGAGCACATTTATATTCTAGCAGCAATTTGTGTCTCCACTCAGCAGCAAGGTGCGCTCTTGGAAGGCACTAGCTGATAAAAGGCTGTGACAGCTGGCCGAAAGCTTCAGAAAGACTACACATGTCTTCAGCCAGCTGTTTAATGGCAACAGAAGGCTTACATAGTAGTGGTGGAGTAACTCTTGCACAAGAATCTTCAGGCACCAAGAGATCTGAGTGCAAATGTACAGCAGATTTGCTGGCAGTACTAGAGAACTCTATAGCAAAGACTAAACATAAATTCACCTCTGTATCCAACTTCAAAAGGGCTGTGGCTTTGTTGCTGTGACCTCTAAGAGGCAAAGTACAGAATCAGACCTAAAATTCACATTCTACTTGATGAACTAGATAGCTTTTTGACCAGATTGCAGATTTATTTGGACTTTTTTTTCAGATGAATATTTCTCAAATCAATTTACCATAGTCTGAATGTTATGGTCATCATTACCTGAAAATAATACCAAAATTATCCTTGCAATGGAAGGTTCACACTGCTTTTGCACTTAAAAATAAAAATCAGCATATAATGTTTCCTTTCACCAAGTATAACAGAGTGCAGAAAATAAAGGGTACCATATATTTTGGCTAATGCTTATTTTCTTACTAAGTAAAAAAACCCTCTGGAATACCACATGTACAATCTTAAATTAAAGCACGAGTTTCTTAACCGAGTAGACAATGTTTGAGCTGAACTGCTCCTTGTATGTGCAAAGAATTCACAAACACTAAATTGTTCATCCTACTTAGAACCAAACAAATATGCATTGAACCCAGCTACCAGTTGAAGAAGTAATCTACAAGCCAAAGGCCTCGTACAGACATTCAACCACAAGTGTATAGATGTTCAGGCTTTTTCTACCAGGGTAAACAAACCTGGGGACAACCAGGCTTAAATCACTCCCAGAAGAGTTTCCCCTGGGAGAGCAGATGTCTGTACATGCCATGGCTTCTCTCAGTAGAGAATATGGTTTTTCCCTACCACCACCACCCCCAACCCAAGGGAGAAATGTGTCACTCACTGGACTCTGCTGCTCCAAAGCACTCCCCCTTCACAATCTCCACATTGTGCTGTAGG